GAGCGACGTTTGATCGCGCGAAGGAGGGAGCGAACGAGCGAGTACGAGCGGCAAGATGAAGTAAAAAAGAAATAACGATCCTCGGAGAGGAGAACGGAGAATGTAGACACGAGAAGGGGACGAAGGGTGGCTCGCAGAGGAGGGAGAGGTTTCATCTCTGCGTGTGTTCGGGGCCTTATCTCGGCGCGTCCATCTTCACACACGACACGTGTATACCACACACATATAAATATATATACACACACACACACATCTAAACAAACGGACGAACATACATATAAACATACATATATACAGTCGCATACTTACACGCAGTTACAACTATTATGTTATTTATATTAATATTAACACACGTTAACGTTATTATCATGGTAATCCTTTGTTTATTTAGTCTTTAAGTACAATAGTTACGACAATTAGTTCTCGGTCCTTTGTATATATATATTCGCAACTCTCAATAAAAAAGGTAAAAAAAAAAGACGAGGCAACGAACGGAAGACCGTTTTAACATACGCATCCTTCATTGTTCCCACGTCAGTGACGTTTTCTACTAACTCCGCGCGTGAATCGAAGGGTCACTTTTCTCGGTTGCGTAAAATATGATGATATTCAACGGACTGCAACCTTTGCAAAAATAATGACAATGAGATGGTTCGCGAAGCATTTTGCAGTGAAGAGTCCCTGTTTTTAGAGAGAGATTTCTCGATAAATATAAAATTTACTTATCTGTTATACGTCTACATGAATTTAAATCAAAATCCGTCAGACGCCAACATTTTTTATAAAGTTTGTAGAGTTATATCGTTTAAATAAACTATTACGGAAAATCGATCTTTTATATCATTTGAAAGCGCGCACTTTCTACTTTAATTTATGTAGCCGCTGATTATAATGCGCTTTCTCTGCGCCGAGTTGTTCAACATTAACGGGATTATCTACCTAGGAACGCCGAAGAAACAATGAATTTTCATGAATTTTTTTTTTGGAAAAACGATTGTGACTATCAATTTCACGTTTGTATATACATTTTATCTATATATTGAGAAATATGCATGAGTTTTTACACGTAAAAACAATGTAAAATAGTCGAGTTATCGGCACGGGCGATACAACTCTCGACAACTAATCTCGACAAATTGTTGAAACTGTACAGCCAAGGTAGGTCGTTTAAAATTAAAGCCAAGTTGATTTGTAATTAATGTTATATATGCTAAATCTGTCGAAATGATAAACAATTTCGGATTAGTAAAATTATGCTTTATTAAAAATTATGCTTCATTAAATTAAAAAGGGAACAGTTCAGTTTTATTTCAATTATTTCTCTAATTAAATTGTCTACAAAAATATCATTTTTCAAAAATTACTATTTTTGGAAGTTCGATATATGGAGAAAATAATTATAATTTATATGTCAAAAGCTGGAGTCATTGTATTTTCTCTACACTATTATATATATTCAATATATGTATATAGGATATCCGATAATTTATGGAGCACCGCTTGTGTGCAGGTTGTGTAGATTGTGTAGAGGGTGTGTAGATTGGATTAAACTGAACAGAACTAAATAGAAAAGCCCTTCATCACTTTATAAACCACGCAAATTTCGAATATATATACATACATACATATATATACATATATATATATGTATGTAAATATATACATATATTTCAAGTTTGAATATTCGCATTTAAAAATCAAAATAACAGGAACGTCCAGAGTTTTGTATGTGTTCACGTATCGGTGCTTTTACTTTAATATTCGAAAATAAAAGATAGGTCTGATTTATCACGGAGTCATACTACCTCGGTTCTTCCTTAAGTACGGTGGTGGCTTAAAGCGGAGATTTTGGAACTAATTTACAATCTTCAGCAAAGACGCGAATTCTTATTAGCCTGTTCGGCAAATTTTTCTTTTAACAGGTTTTCCTATAACACTGCTAGATGGCATCAGGTAGTCCGTCGACTACTTGCGATTTGAGTTTCGACTAAACTGGGTTCGAGTCTCGGCTAAAACAGGGTTCGAGTCTCGGTATGGTATGTGTGATATTGCAAATTAGTTCCAAAGTATCCGCTACGAGCCGCCACCGAATTCGAGAGCGTGATACAACTCCACGATAAAACGGAAGAACCTTATTTTTTAAGTAGCAGCACTTAACGGTTAGTCAGCCGCATTTCTATATTACGTACTACGAAACGTAGGTAGAATTTAATGGACCGTAACTACAGCCAAAATTATGATAACAATGAGCTTAAAGAAGCATTTTACAGCTTGACATCTCTAGTTTCAGATGTATTAATATTATTACACTTGTCTCTCTTGTCGAAGTAGTTCGAGTTCAAGTTAAAAGCTGAGGAAGTGGCAGTCGTTCAATTATCAATTCCATCCTTCAGTCGGGTTTTCACTTGGGAAAAGTAAAACACTACGAGTATCGAAAATGTAAATATGCATTTTATAAAGGGAACTTCGAGCTTTCCATTCATTTTCTAGCAAACATCCTACATTGATTCACCTTCTGTAATCAATTAAAGCCAAAAGGGTGTGTTTTGTTTCAACATTGAATAATTCGATGCAGAAAAAGCGCACGAGCTGGCGCGCAAATTAAAATGAAAAACTCGCACTTTCATACGATGTTTCGCAGTGTTCTTTAACAAGCGACAATTTACGTACGTTAAGTGTACAACGCGTTGAAAAAGGACAGAAACGCTCAACTTATATCTCTCTCGGATCACGTGGTCTGAGAACAATAGCCGCGTTTATTCCAAGTAAGATAGAGTCGAGTGATTTTGCGTGACGGCGAGGCAAGCGATTCTCAAGTTCTAAAGGCGTGATAAGGAGAATATCAATGTAGACAACGATCATTGTTTTTTCTCCTTGCAGTTTATTTGCAATTTGTTCATATAATTGGTAACTGATCTCGGATAACTAGTACTAAAAACCTAAACAACGTATGAAACTTTATACATAGCTAATTTATATCTTAAAAGTGCTAAGGCGACTATTTACAATTTAAACGCGTCGAGCCGCGCACATCGCGCTGTTCTCGAGGAACGTGTATGTGTGGGTGTGTGTGTGTGTGTTTTTTTTTTATGTAGCCCAGGCGTCGAAGGAAGTTTGGATCTGTCTGTCTGTGCACCTTTCGTCCAGGCGTCATCGCGAAATTGTCTCTTTACCCGCATAGTGTTTTTCTTCCGCTTCATCGAATTTCAATTACAAAGCGTGATGTTAGATTGTCAGAATCTTTCAGACTTTGTTCTTCCTTTGCACATTTCTTTCCCATTCTTAGACACCCGCCTCGACCCGAGGTCGTCGGCCACAGCATCTTTTATCGATACGCGGTCGTATCTGTCAAAAATGAAAAGGAAGATAGAATACCGCTTTCGGAGGAATTAACGCGCTATAACGATCGCTACTTTCGCGTCGGATAAAAATTCGATGCTCAGCGTCAGCGGGTCTCCTTCGCGACGAAGGTGATGAAAGATTCACTCACTCGCGAGAGAGCTGCTCGACGCGAGATCGGTCGTAGATACGGCAAAAACGACATGTATATGAGAGACAAATCTTTCCGAAACGCTCATCATCCAATTTCTTTCGTGGCGCTTCTGTGAGGGAGAGACAAATAAAGTAAAACAGAGTCACAACGTGCTCGCCGAAGGATCGATGGGATATGTATGTGTGTATGTGTGCTTTTTTTATACGTACATCGTCGAGCGACGTCTAATCGCGACATGTATGTGAGTATGTGTGTGTGTGTGTATGTCGCGGCCTTATCGGCCCGAGCACGTAATTTCGTCATGTCAGAATCGTAAAGCCAAGGATGCGTGTATTACATGAGGAACCGTTCGCACGTATTCGATGGGGGGGAGGGGATGGAGGGAGGGACCAACGTAGCAAGGAGGCGGTTGTGATTCGGCAAACGCAAATTTCGCGACGGTATTCCGGATAATACAAAAGAAATGTGTTGATAAAAAATGTACGACCGGGATGACGGGGGAGAGAGTATTTGATAAAGAATACAAGAAGAACGAAGATATTGCACTGCACGGTATCCGTGGGGGACCCGCGTGGAGATACCTTGCCGTTCGAACATTATTCAGAATATCCTCGAAACAACATATACGTTATATATACAACGTAACGTTTGCAAATAATACAAACACGCTCTTAACATGTCAGCTAAATAAAACAAAAAAAAAAAGAAAAAAGAAGGAAAGAAAAACAAAGGATCAATTCAATTGCGTTAAGAAAGAAGGAAAAAAGAAGGAGCTAATGGGTCTTCCCCGTTGAAACGAACGCGACGCGGAACGTCGGGGAAGATCGAACGCGAAGAGAATCTAAATCCTCGGACAATTCATTCATCTAGTGCGCGTGCGTGTCGGTGATAAAAATAATGAAATGTATTTTCACGCGACACGGGGCACGGCGAAATCCTCGCGTCCGAAAAAGCGAACGAGCCGGATTGTCGCTCTTCACGATGGATTTCCGCGTAAATCGCGAGAAATCACCCACGCCGACGAACGGCCGACGAACGCACTTCGTCCGGCGAGGGTACGTGAGTGAGAGAGACAGAAAAGAGAGAGAGAGAGAGAGAGAGAGAGAGAGAAAGGAAGGGGGAACCTCGCGCAATCGATTGATCACAACCAGTCGCGTGCGGGTGATCGAGAAATAATTTACAAAAGATACATCTATAATGATACACACACGCGTTATGATTCGCTAAAAATGCTCGCGGAGAACACGAGAGTTCGTCAGAGCTGCACGATCGTTTTCGCGACGAGAAAACCAAATAGAAAAAAGAAACGAAGAAGAATACGAAAAACGGGGATTCGGGAGCTTTCCGCGTGCCTGAATTCCTGTCGTTGACACTGGCCGATGAAATGCAGGCGAACACCGAATTTCCATGACTTCTCTCATTTGGTTTCTCCGGCACTATGTATATATATATATGTTTGGTAATATATATTAATATTAATGTATTAATACATATTAATATTAATATAACATATATATCGTATCACATATGTATTAATATTAATATTAATAAATATTAATATGTGTTAATATTAATATAACATACGCACACGGCGAAAGTAATCTTCTCATATTTTCAGTGTATGTGTGTGTATGTGTGTTTGTCAGTTTTTTGCTTTTCATCATGAAACCACAGCGTTTCCACGAAGCGTACGGCGATGTCGGTGACGACGATTCTCCGTAAAATCGTCCGCGGCCTCTTGACGGAGTCTATCGCTCTCGCCGTGTGACACACGCGTATGTAAACGGGATGATATCAGGAAGGAACCATCGGCAGGGAAGTGTACAGCTATTGCTCGCTATAGCGTCTACTCTTCGGATGCCAAGGGAGTGTTGTTAACAAAAGTGGTACATCGTGTGGTCGTACAACAGCTAAGGCTCGTCGTGCGGCGCGTGTGTCTATCGCGCGTGCAAAACCCGGCGCTTCCTTCCAGAGCTCAATCTCCGGCTCGATCGAGCAGCCGCCCGGCCGTCGAATCGCTCGCTCCGAGTCTCCGGACGACGACGCCCGGTGAAAAAGAATTCGGAGTCGGCGAGGCGATTGACAAGGCGGGAAAAACCGTGAAACGATGCTCTGAAACGCAGCGGCGACGCGGAGCGGAGGTTCCTCGCGCGATTCCCGCGTCTTCTCCGGACGACGACGATCTGCACGAGCGCGCCTCGAGACGCACGAATCGAAAGCGTCGGCGAGCGCGTTCACCTTCTCGAGGGCGAAGACGGTCATCTCGCGCGCGCCGGACGAGGGAACATGATCGAGCTTCCGACGACGCTTTCTCCGCGGTTTTGCTACTGACGCGCAGCGGAAAACGAGCGGAACTCGCTCTCCGCTTTCGCTCGTAACCATCTCCTCTCTCTCTCTCTCTCTCTCTTCGTCCACGGATAGTCGTCAGCTATGTACCGGGCGTGTGCTATTTCACTATAATTCGTCCTATATCCTTAACGTGCTCTCTTAAAAATCTATCTGTATATGTACAAACAATGCGTGTGCAGTCGGCGTCATGTAAAGCTATATCATTCCCTCGATCGAAAAATACACGTCATTTTTAAGTTATAAAACAGAAAAACGTGGTCTCAAATCAATGATAACTGTTCCCATATGTACAAATATTATATTATAATCTCTCTCTTTTAGTCTTGAATTGAGTGCAAGTAATACTCGCGTCAATACAAATCCAATCGAATCAAGACTGAAAATCTTCTAAGAAGAGTATTAACAACATTTATAATATTCCTGCTTGTACATGAGAATATCTATCATTGATTTGAGACTATTTTTTCCGTGTAATCGCAATTTATAATAACTTCTTTATGAATTCCTTATAACTACGCTCAAATTGTATAAATCTTTTAGAATTCATTATAGTCATATATTTTTCTCAAGAGATTGATTATTTTTATCGGCCGTAATCGAGAAAATTTGATCTTTCCCTTTTTACGGATTTCCGTTTTTCCGAACCGGCCATCTGAGATCGGAGCGGATTGATTATGCGATTCCGATTGGTCACCCCTCTATTACGTTTCTTTCTGTCCTGATTTTTCGTTATCTACGGAACGGCGCTCCAAGACTGAAAATCCTGTAACATTTCGCCCAGGGAATAATACAGCATAATGACGGTGACTGTACGCGCGTTCTGTGCGCGCACGCACACACGCGCGCGCACTCGTCGTACGCCGAAGGTCGCGTCGCTACCGAGAAACGAGAGCCGTTCCCCTCCTCCTCGTCGTCGGAGCACTATAGGCACGTGTCGTTTCCGAGACGGGACCACGACGCGACACGAATCTTCGGCGCAGCAAGGTGGACGCGAATTAGCCGCGGGCAAGCTTGGGCGTAGCGTGGAAGACCGCGATGCCGGTTCGAGTACACACACACGAACGCACTTTGAACCTCGCGGGATCGTCGCGCGTACGCATGAATGTTCCTATCTAGCGCGTCGACGGAGCGATGCGGTTGAGTGTTGCGATTGTGCGAGCGGAATTGACCGTCCGAAAAAAAAAAAAGAAGAGGAAGGAGAACTATATTTACAGCTTAGAAAATGATGACCCCTAAGTCGACGAATGCGTGGCTTTTGTGCAACAGGATGGGAGAGCGAAAAAAGGGGGAGGGGAGTACATGATTGTTCTATGAGGACGGACTCTCTAATTGTTAGGAAAGGAAGGAGAATAATCATTGCGAAGGAAGAATTGAGACATAGGAAACGAGAAAGAAAGAGAGAGAGAGAGAGAGAGAGAGAGAGAGAGAGAGAGAGAGAGGTGGTAGACGGAGGAGGAGGATGGATAATTACTCGGCAAGGAATGATTGCGCGAGATAGAATCGAGTGAAACCCATTGTCTATCAGCCGTCGACTTTAAAATAGATTCGATATTGTGCGCGACGATGTATATAAATAGATTAGGCGTGCGCGGCGACGGCGACGTCCAAAGAACGAAGCCAGCAATTACGTCTGCCAGCGGAAAGAAGTCGTACCGCGATGATCGATACTCGATATATAATGCCGCATACACGATGGAAAACGAATACGTGTAACGGTGACGCGATAATTTGCAGAGTAATTTTACTCCCATTTTCACTTCCGCTTACTGAAGAGTTATTTCAATATTATTTGCGTTAATTGAGATTATGTTCACCGATTAAATGGCAAAAAGTCGGGAAAAATGATTAGCCAGTGCAAAAGTTTACAGAGTTTACAGCAATTTTAAAGGTCAGCGGAGCCAAAATGACACCATCGGCGGTTTTAGTGTTAAAAAAAAAAAAAGAAGCGGAAAAGGGGAAAAGAGGAGCGCGCTTTCGCTGCGGATCATCGCTGAACAGAAAGGCCGATCGAAGCGCGTGCGGTGTGCGTTCGCTGTGTGTGTTATTAGATACCTCGTGGCTGCGCGTTGAACATTGAGTCAGTGCTGTAAGCAGATTATTACCGACGTGAGTCAGACTCGTGGGCGATGATTCGGCCGAGATGCCGCGCATATTATCGCGCTTCATCACACGCGCGCACACGTTGTTGCTCTTCGCATATCCCACGCGCGGATCTGCACCGCGGGTCTGCAGCCCGAAATTTTTCGCCACAGCGACTTCGAGGCTATTCGAATTCCTCCCCGTTCCCCGGCGAGAACGACGACAAGAGTCGGAGGAACCGGAGGAGAGAAGGAACGGCTCTGATTACAGCTCTGACTGCGAGTTCTCTCGCGCACTCGACGCGCCCTAAGTTACAAGAACGCCGGACGCATCGTCTCACCTCGCCGAGGAGACCCCCGCGAGTCCCATACGCGGTTTGGACCTCTCGGGTGCGGCGTATCGCGGCGTACCATCGCGTTCGCCAACTGTCGTCCGCACGTAGAAGAGAGCCGCGCGTCGATCACGCATATTCGGTGCGTCGGCCCGCTTCGCTCGAGTACGGACTACGAGAGACGACGCGCTCTTCTTCCGCCGCTCGCTCGCTGAGGAACTCGCACCCGCTTCTTCGAGTTCCAGGTATTTCATTCGTAAGTCCCCGCCACTCGCGCTTGTACCACGAAGTCAGCTCTCTACGCCGCCTCTTCCTCCTCGGCTCTGTCGAGTCCGGCTTTGTCGCGCGGGCCCGACGGCGCCGAGCCAGGTCGCTGCTCCAGGTACACCGCCGTCGTCTAGGTCTCCAGGCCCGGCACCAGACTGTGGAAGGTCTGTATGTCGTGGAAGGCGCGGCCGCAGCTCTGGTTGTTGTTGCGCTCGAACTTGGTGAGGTCGAAGTGCTCGTCCAGGGACTGCAGCTCGGCCAGCCGCTCCTCCAGCGTCTTCGCCGAGTCGGCGAACCGAGCGAAGTCGCAGATCCGGTCGGGGTCCACCACGTCGCTCACGTCCATCGTGGTGTCGCCCGGTCGCGCGAGCTGCGCGCTCGCGTCGTCGTCGAGGACCGCCGGGAAACCGAGGAGCGTGTTGCCGCAGCAGTTGGCGCCGTTCACCGCGCCGCCGCCGTTGCTCGTAGCGCCGGTGTGGCTGCCGCCGTTATCGGGGCTGCTCGGCCGCACGTCTGTCAGCCCGCCCAGACGGTCCTCCGTGTAACCGTTGACCATCGAGTGAGCCGACGTGTGCACGTCCTGGAGATCGTCGATGTGCGAGAGCAGCGACGTGGGCGACAGGATGTAGAAGTCGTTGAACACATCGTCCTGCAGGTCCAGGTCGTCGTGCCTCTGCCTCTTGGGGCTGAGCACGTCGCTCCTCGAGTCGTCGGCCAACCTGTCGGGTTCATAGAGATCGGTTACTCCGTGAACATCTCATTCGTATTGGGCGCCCCCCCCCCATCGTGCGCGCATCACACGGTGACTCGTTGAAAGTCTCCGGCGCGGAATCACCCGGTCATCGTGGCGCGCGGACATTGTAACGGGACAGTGGTCGAAGAAGTCGCGGCAAGGTATTAGATTTACGAAGTTAGAGAGAGAAGGGGGGGGAGGGATTATTTGATAGAAACGGTATTATTACGATTGGTACACGGGAAGAAAATTATATCAATTCAAGACTCATACTCTCGTGTAGTTCCAAAAGCTCGGAAAAAACCAGGTTTTTTCCCATTTTTCCGCGAATTTCGCCAGTTTCTTTTCCAAAGGTAGAAATATTCGTTTAAAAAATTCATGTGTGTTCGGTTAAAACCTGCCACATTTACTTTTTCCGCGAAGGAGTTAAGAAACCAAAAAAATTCGCGGAAAATGGGAAAAAGAACGGTTTTTTTCAGAGTTTTTTTTTTAAACTATATATGTACAAGCGAGGATATTTAACTTTGTATATGAGCGATATGATTTGTATGTAAAATATATACCGCGTCAGGTTTAAATGTGCGGGTCGGGTGTATTAGTTATAAGAAAAAGAGACAAAAAGAGACACAAAATTAGAATAATTAATATAATTATATATAATTATATACAAAGGCGAAAATTACAGAATTGAAGTGTGAATCGAAAAGTGTAGATCTATATGCAATGTTTTCCTGCCCTCTGAGTTCATAAAAGTAACAAATAACAAGAATATGATATTTTCAATGGAACTATATAGAATTTCTTCAAGTAAGAGTGAGTCTTACCTTCATACGAGATTATATATGTTCTCATTTATACATGAGAACACGAGTCTTGAATTGATACTAATTATTTTTTTCCTGTGTAGATGAGCTAACGCGCGCGCGCTTCGGCCGATTTCAGCCCGCTAAACAGTTAACTAACAGTTAACGTTACATTAATGTTATCATTTCCCTGCGCTGTATATTACACAGTTACATTGTTGAGCGAGGAATTGCAACACTGTGTAACGCTACCGCTAGCTGATGTGTTTTTACTGGGAATTAATTTCAAGCATCGTCACTCGCGGGGAAAGGACGACTTCCGGTGGGCAACACCGGCCGCGCCGCATTTCGTACCTTTTCCTCGACGACGTTTCCTCGTCCGTCACATCGGCGATGAGGTTGCTGGCGACGCTGTTCTCCTTGCTCGCGTCGTCCATGTACGATACCACCGGAAGCCCGTAGCTCCGCGTCTTCTCGTCGCGATTCTCCCGCTGCAGCCGTCGCACCGCGTTATTTATCAGCACCGACCGGCACAGGCTCGCCTCCGGGTCCTCGATCCTCCTCAGCTTCACGGCGGAGATCTTCAGCAAACGGCGGCGTTCCTCCCGGGCGCGATACTTGGCGGAGATCATCGTGGGTCGGCTCCTACGTATCACCAGGTCCTCCTCCAATGTCATTTTAGACTCTGCAACGAGACAGAAGGTAGGGACGTTAGCTCAAGCTCTGTCATCAAATCGTCGTAACCGGCCTCGCCAAGTGAGAGTTTCGGACGCCGTTAATGTTATTATATATCGAAGCTCGAAGTAGCGACATATCGTGGACTCGCGCGCGAGTGTGTTCGCGGCAAAAATAGTAGTTCGTAGTATAAATTTATCAAGCAAACAGAGATCGTGATGAATGACAGTGTATTATTTATATCACTTATTACTCAGCAGAAATTTTTTACACAACGCGAGCACAGAGCATCGAGGCTCTCGACACACGCTCGCATTTATTGAGGGGAGAGAGAGAGTATTTTCGTTTAACGGTATATATACGCGGAGACGGTAAATACACGCGTGCACGCACTCACATACACACGTATGCTCGCGCTCGTACGCGAGGTGGGAGGCGGGGGGGAGAGGAGGGAGCGAGTTAGCGGTATGTAAGTACGCACTTACGCACTCACATGCAGCGTACGCTCGTGTACTATATAATGGACGAGGTCTCTTTTTCTTTTTCCTCTTATCGTCATCGTATTCGTCGTCGTCGTCATCGCCGTCCGCTGACTGACCCAGTTACACACACGGCGCTTCCGTCTTTCCGCGGCGCGCAAATAAATCCCGGCCGCCTACCCACTTCTTCGCCACGGAGAGGGGAAAAATACGCGTACCGCTATACCGCGGTGTCTCATAATCGACGACGACGACGAGTACGACGAGGACGCGTCGGATCGTTTCGCGGATCGCGCGGCTCGGCGAAATCGCGCTAACGGTCGTCGTCGCGGAAATTGCCGCTTGTTACTTCACGTTGGAAATTTCTGATCCAAGACGCCTCTCGTTTCTGGTTAAACCAGAAGTATCAGTCGCCCCGACGTTTCCACGACTCGACGGGATCTCCGGCCGAGAGGGATTAAGGAGAAGGTGCTCTCTCTCCGTCGGTTGCACCGTCCTCCCTTTCCCCATCCTTTCGCAAGGACGAGTAAACGAGAAGAAATTTTCTCGAAATTATTCACACGTGTACACAAAATTATACATTATATGTTAATGAATTGCATTTATATTCATATGTTTTACAAATGTATGATTCAATATGTTTTATACATTTAAAATTATTGATATATTATTTATAAGATGAAATTGTTCGAAGCTCTATTTAGATCAATATTTGGAGGGAAATACATCCGCGCGATTAAGAGAAATTCACGCGTCCGCGCGTGTACCCGATGATATTTGTCCGATTAATCCGGAAAGGAAAATGTTTATTTAAAAAATGTACGCGCGTGCGACGATGTCGGTGAGCCCGCCGCCCGGCGGCCAAATTTTTGTCGCGCACGTGCGACACGTGTTACAGCCGCGCATTTTCCATGCGATCTTATTGCCCACGTCATTTTAATATTAAAGAGGAAAATATTCCGTTCGCGCGCGAACCTCCCCCCCTCTTTCTCTCTTCCGTCCACCTTCCTTTCTCCTCACACTCTCTATTTTCGAGGAGACGTTTTCTCGTAGGGCGACACTTCAAATCGCCATGGGAGTTACTTCCGCGCGGTCACGAGATCATTTCCGACTCGAGGCCGTGGCGGCGGTATACACGTGAAACGCGCAACGCTCGAAACCGCGACCCGGCTGGCCGATTCCCGCTAATTCTCAATCTCCGATCGATCGATCGGCCGAGATCGATCCCTGCACTCTCGCGTGAAAACTGTTAATCCGCCGTTTCCGCCGAGATTGGCCGATAGCCACGGTCGCCTATTTTCTTACAGAAGGTCCTTTGCTTAATCGATCCCGCACATGCTACGCGCCGGCCGCCCCGCGCGAGAGAACGGCAATTTAGAATGCCGGGGGATCGGAGACGAGAGTTTCGTATCATCGGCGCGGCTGCGACGGGGGTGGCTACGAGAGAGCGGTGTGTATCGTTACATTGTGTAACTTGCCGCGTTTGCAAAGTCAATTGTTTTTCATCACCTCCGTAACGTTCCCGGCGACCAACGGGTACACACACACACACACACACAGCCGGTAGATTAAAGGTTGCAATGCGACTTTTTTCGACTAGTTTCGCAACGCAGTGTACCTATTAGAATTTGTTTCTTAGTAATTCTCGGAAGATACAGCTAATTGAAAAAGCGTCGCAATCTTTTCGTGACTGAGTTGTACTTATCTCAAAATGTTTAGTAATAGTAGTTTTTAAATATTGTGGTTATCTCGACATTTTGCGTTATGTCAAATATATTGTGCAGGTAAGCGTTAAAATAACACACTTTATACTTTAATGTCGATTATCGTATTAATTTTGTGCCAATTTCTGACATAATATTTATGTTACTTTTCAACATATTGCATATATAAATAACGCAATAATAATATGTAAATTAACACAAAGATTCGAGTGAATCGTTCGAGACGTGTGAAGTGTGTTAAATCTTACGCACGATTTTTTACCGTTACAAGTTCCAAGCCCGCGCAAGTTCGCGATGCGTTTCACGACCGACTCTTCCCGATCGCATCCATACGACATAACCTCCGCGTGATTACTTCTTGAGGAAATAATCGTCATCGAAATCGCGCGTCACCCGGAAGTGAACGTCGGGGAGGAAAGATTCGCCGCGCGACCGGAAGATGTCGCGCGAAGTGCTTCCCGAAACGCTACGTCCAAGATGGTCGCCGGTGCGCGAAGTCCGCGTCGAGAAAGAATGCGACATTCGGCCGCGCGCGACACTTGTTGCTAAGACCGATCGTCCGGAGTAAAGAGTCCCGTGTTCGCGATCGTGACTCTCGAATCCTACCCTCCCCAAAGGACGGCGACGACAGTGGAGACGGCTCGCGATCTCACAGCCGAGATCGTTTTTCCTGCACGATTCGAAAACTCGAGCGTAACCGTTCCTCGAAAGTCGCTCGCCTTCGAGTGGAATGGCGGTTTACGTAAGTGTTTTTGCACTCGCAAGATTTATATTCTTATGTTCAGCGGCGAACGGCCACGAATTAGAAGTAACCGATGCGCGAAGTGTCCGAACTGCGAAAAATACAGGATGTACCTGAACCCCGCCGACAAACTTTGTCGATGCACAATTGACGTGGAGTAAAGACGCGCGTACGAATATTGCTTCATTATCGTCGTCGTCGTATCACAATGAATGATTGCTTGGTTAATATTCGGAAATATCAAAACTGATAGATATATAGAGAAAAATTGCTTAAAATCGATGACAGATATTCATATATAAGCGAGAATATTATAATATTTTAATTATTACTAATATATCATATAATTACTATTAATATTCTATAATAATATCTTAGATTTTTGGCCTTGAATTGAGTGCAAATAATACTTGCATCAATACGAATTCAATCGAGGTTAAAAATCTTCTATATATTCTTGCTTATACATGAGAATATCTATTATTGATTGAAGACTAATTTTTTTCGTTATGCATCTTCAAAAACAGGTAAAAAAAAGTGTCAGCATTCTTAACCCGCTTATCACGACGCGTTTTCTTCCGTCTGTCCTGTAAGCTCGTCGATAGGGAGATGTATCGAGAGATACAACCTCTGTATATACAGCTTGAATGCGTGCAGTGCAGCCTCGTTATTCCCTCCCGTTATTATCTCGAGGTTGAAAACACCGAAAACTCAGAGCGATAGCGCGTCCATTTCGCGCGGTGGGAAGAAGAGAGAGAGAGAAAGAGAGAAAAAAAAGCGAGAAAGAAAGGAAAAGGAACAATTACCCGCGCGTCACTTTTGTGTCGAATAAACACCGACGATATCGAGGGTCGCTCCACTCCGGGCGATAGTCGAGGTCCCGCCGTCGAATGATCAGAATGACAGCCAAATTGACGGGCGGGAAGAGGACGAAAATCGAAAGTCAAGCATAATATACGTATCGGGGACGTGAAGTGGCTGCCGCGAGCTCGAGCGCGCGGTCCTCGTCATTGGCGGATTACTTAATTCGCTGCTGCGGAATATAGAAAGAGAGAAGGTAGAGAGAAAGTAGAGTAGAGAGAGGTATTTATTCTATTTCGGGACAATGCCCCTGAGAACAATCGGGTCGTATTAATCAAGATAACGCAACGACCGTGCTCCGAGTGTAACGCACAGAGAGCGTACGAAGAATAAGCGAATCGTAGTTTCGTAGTATCAATACATCTCGCCGCGCCGAGGGATTTTGCAATGACGAGACAAAATTCAGTTGAGCCCACGCGACTGACTTTCGTCGACCACTTCGTAGATTCTTCTCTCTCACGAACGTCGTTCCGGAAAGCGGTTCGATTCAGATCCCGTTGCGACGCAGAGTCTCAATAACGCGCTGAGAATAAATTTTAGTAAATACTAATGCGACTAGTGAGAGAGAGGGAGGGAGGGAGGAAGGGGGGGGAGAGAGAGAGAGAGGCGATTTTACGCTCGAGGTGCGCCTAGACTAACTTTCTCCGCGAGGGAAAAACCGCCATGGATACGTTACCTAACCTGACGCGCGAAGTCCGCCTTGCAGTCGCTGACTCGCGCGTCCCTCCCCTCTCCTCTCGGCCGTCTCTCTATCTTTCCTTTTCCCTTTGCGACCATCGCCTTGCTCGCTCTACCCCCCCCCCCCCCCCCC